ATAACGACATATACAAAAGATATACATATATTTATATATATATATATATATATATATATATATATATATATATATATATATATATATATATATATATATATGTATATCTTTTGTCTATAAATTAAGTAATTCAAAGAAAAAACATATTAAACTTCATAGTACCATTCATTCGATAAAATGAGACTCTGTCAGTTACAAGTTAAAACATCTAAGAAAATTATAAAAGTTGGTAAAACAATATATATACCTCGAGTGTTGAGTAAATTCAAATAATTGAACTTCATAGAATTTTCATTGTATTTCACTGCACACAAATTCGATATTGGTTAATTATAGTGTAAAACGTATATTATACCTACATAGTCGAAAACAAAGGCACGAATATGGGTTTAAACTGAGGATGGTTTGACAACGCAATTTTGTAATGTTGAATTAATTTGGATTTTAATTTGATTTTAATATATCAAAGGAATATGGAATATATATGGGATATGGAATCAAAACCGGTCATAGATTTTAAACATCTACTAACAGAATCCAAATTGTCAACCAAAAATATTCATGTCCAAATTGTCCATAAATTAAATGATAATTTCTCAAAGTATTTAATTTTGCTTCCTTAAACTTTTGCTAATTAAATCAAAACCAGATTCCTAATTTCATTTTGGGTGCCTGTCGTATTTTTATTCGAGACAATTTTAAAGGTTTATCTTGCACCTCTTTATTGCTGCGAATCGATGAAATTCCATCGGTAAATTAAAAAAGGGGAAACTTATCAAGCAATCTATCAAATACTCCGATTATTACTATACACAAGACCACATATAGAAGCAAAACAGATGAGATACAGAGGATGGCACAAATATTATGAGGATGAAATTCGAGATTTAGAAAGTCTTGTTTGTTATACGGAATGCTGTTTGAATATACTCGAAAACACGAATGTATTTAGATGACCGAATGTATGTATGTATTAAGTTCTTTGAAATAAATCGGGATGGTCGGATACGTGAAATGTTTTATATCAAGATTTCTAATATTTGTATAGATGGATATACATGTAAAATATAAACTTACATAGTTAAATAACCTTAATTCGAGTGCATTAGGCTTAAAACTGGGGGCGCTTACTTACACTTATAACAGAAATATTATACGTGTTTTCAAACCAATACTCATAGAATAGAAAGAAGATAGAAAAGGAACGAAAATTGTACATCAAATGTAATAATTAATTCAAAACTCAGTTAAAGCGCAATGAATCTTTATTTAATAACACTATAAGTTAATACATAACCGACTCAAAACATGTTTCCTGATTATAATTTTTTTCTCTTTATTAAGTTGATGGGAAGACCGAGTGGAGGCCACGGTCTCGAATCTAAAATCTCTAGGCTATCAATAAGGCTTTCTGAGTGCTCATAGTATTACAGTTTACCGCCAAACACTCAATCTTTAGGATTACGACAAGGAACATTCTAGGAGGCTTTAGATTTACAATCCGATCTTTAGCGTAATCGCTTTGTGATTCTAATCTTTAACTACATACGATTTTTAAAGTAGTAGATTGTTTATGCTTTTGGGTCTAAGTTTTAGAATTATTTGAATATTTCATAATATGTTTTGAAAACCGCTATTTTCAAATAGAATGTGATATGTTTTTTTAATCTTGAAGCCGAAATATATAATATAAAGTTACAAAGCATTCGATTGGCATTTCAAGTAGCATATTCATCTTCTATATGTTAATTACAGATTTGAATTAAATCCTCCAACATTTCTACTGTAACAAAGGCCTTAAAATTGTAACAGAGGGAGAGACTTATTGAAGTATGCACGTTGTAAGTCTGGAAATATTTTATTTATAAATCGTATTATTTGTAAATGATTTTATATGAAAATAATCTTACATCTAAAAATGGGCATCTCGGGACATAATCATGTTAACAAAAACAGAAAGTTTTTATTCAAATTCCTCTCTTGAGAGCAAAGAATTTGGGATGCTTGGTGTTACTAAATATTTTTCTTCTTTGGAAGTTAACGCGTCGCGGCTATTGTGCTTTACAACTGAGTTACAATGGAACTTTCATCCTCTTGAGTGATTTGGAATTTGCACATTTACTTTAAGGCGACATTCCTATCAGTCATTGTCAACAACATTATAGGATCCGCTACGAAATGGAATCCACTAGATAAGTTTATTATGGTCTTGTATTGTGCTGTATTGTAAAATGCATTCATTCGCACTCTCGACAACTTATTGTGATGTGAGCGAGGTAATTGAACTCAGAAGAGTTTGATGTTGGTTCCAGGACTTTAATCTTGGAAACACTAGCTTCGTTTGGTTTTAATACATTTATGTATATTATTATGCTATAAATAAAATGTAAATATATATATTTTTATATAATATATGACTTACTTTTAAAATTATTATATAACAGTCAAGACAGTAACTTATGCTTGTCTAAGTTGTATAATGCACTTTGAAATACATATTATGAGTTATAAGCTATTAGAAAATATAAATACAGAGAGTAAGTAGGTTTTTTCGAACAATAATAATTACTTAATACTGAAAGCAACTCTGTTGAAGTCTTATAAAGTTATAGACAAGTAAAGTGCACAAGTAGGTACTCAAAGAAGTAAAGGAGGTCTAAAATTGTGTTGATAATTAAGGATAAAAAAAAATTGTTTTAAATTCTTGAAGAATCCCTTTATCGGAATAAATTTATCTGAACTGTTAAATGATTTTATTCGGTGCAAGTCTACCGTCAGTTATACAAAAGTAACAAAGACCTTACGGGAACCAAACTAAAACACCTGCGAATAAAAGCTTCTGAAAATACAGAGCATCAGTTTACTTTGAACGGATATTGGTGAAACGAAACCTGTCAATTTTTGAGCGCGTGATCATATGCACGTTCTAGTTTCGTGTTCAAAGCAAAACCGAAATATTATATAGATATAGTTGATGAACAACTATGACGATTTGTCGTATATACGTACATCTCAACATTTATACAGGTTAGTAGATGAATGATACTAAGTCGTGTGGACATAATGTATGTATATAAATATTAATTAGTTTTATTTTAATATTGAATTTATAAATATTTTTACAGTTAAATCAGAGCGTGTACAACCTTCACTTTTAACCGGTCATAGAATTCATTGATACCACACAACTAACATAATACGATTGAGATAAAGCTAGGGTTGAAATAAATAAATAATAAAATACATTATCGGAAACGTTAGTTCCCTTAATCTCTGGATGTATGACTTATAAAATAAACAAGATTAAAAAAAATAATTATCGGAAACGTTAGAAAATAATTTATCACCGGTACTTCTATTCAAATTAAAAATCTTGGATTGAATTTTAAAGATGTAATAACAACACTCAATGAAGACATGGGATAAACTCTTTAAAGATAATTACTAAGTTGGGATAATCAGAAAGATAGCTCATTTAGGGCCACTCAATATTTTATAAAAGGAACCTTCCCATAAAAAGAATATAAAGAATTAATTAATTAACAAACACAATGGAACAGCTCTGGCTGACTTTTGTTGGCGAAGATTTCTCTCGAGTAAAATATTAAGTATAATTAATTCTGAAAGGGGAAGGGGGAAAATTTACTTACGTGAGGGTAAAACAAATTTTATAAATGATTTTATGAAAAACTATTAACAACTAGAAGACCTGGCGAATTTCGTATCGCCCTATAATTAAGAAATATCTATTACGTTTTTTTATTTATATTTTCGGAGTTTACCTGTAAGCCATAAATCTCCGTGTTTTGAAGTGCGACAGAATGATTGACATATTAGTTAGTTGTCAAATCTAATGTCAAAAAAAAACGTTTGTATGGGAAATAGAAAAGGGCTGTTTTTATGGTTTTCCCAGTAATGAATCAATTTTATTCAACTTTTATACCTTCCCTGAACCTCCACGAACATTTAAAGACTAAGATAAGATAAATCCGTTCAGCTGTTCTCGAGTTTTAGCGGGACTAAGGAACAGCAATCCATTTTCATATATATAGAAGATGTAATGAAAACAAAACTCACTTCGAAAATTGTATACAACCAATGTGAGCATATAACAACAATATATTTTTTTATTACAAAAGATTTACTAGCTTTAAAGATAGATTAAAAGAAAAAGTGGAAACATAATATGTATTTGACTTATATTTTTAGAATTTTGCATTTTTAATTTTAAATATGTAAAACTAGATTATATTTGGAAGCTTTAAAAACTTTACAGTAATATTCCTTACTAAAGTTTCTGTAATTCTAATATATAGAGCTGTCTATGTATTTTTGATTAAATTTTTAATTTAAATGAAATAATTACACTGCATATCCGACATACACAAGACTATTTCTTTTAAACCAACAAATACAAACAGCAAAGGAATAATGCAACAGAGAAACTTTTTTGCGGCATGCAAAGGTATAAAATTGTATCAATGTTTTATCGAAGCCAATGAAATCCCTTACTAAGTTGTAGATTAATTCGATATAGAAGTGCTAATTGGCTTACGCTAGACTAATCCTGTATTTGCAACAGGAATTGAATTATTTTATCAGTGAAATCTAAAGGAGGAAATGTAATTAAAAAAATGTTTTATGATAATTATCTCACTGATTATGTGATATCTTCAGCGATATGGATAAAACTTAAGTCTTTGTCATGTTCGGTACATCCGAACTCAGGTAAGGTTACATTTGATTTCGGTACTGCCTTATATTACTTATTTTTACATAAGCATCGAACAAAGGTAAAAGTGTAAGAGAATTTTAATATAATTTCTATAGTTACATAGTTATACAAATTATAAATAAATAATTATGAATAAATTTTACCTCAATAATTACAGAAGTGGTTATGAATATAAAATATCATATACTTAATATTTCTATGAAATTATATATTTAAATAGTTGTAAAGCCGGGATAAAGTGTAAATTATGAGTAAAGCATACCTTCTAAGAAGGGTCCTTGTTAAACAGAGCGTTATAGGGACGATTGGAAGGACAGTGGCACAACAATAGGATTCCATACGTATCCTTTGAGTAGTGAACCCTGAATACGTACGACCACTCTTTCATTTCCGCCCACCAACATGGAATCTATATATTATACATATTATATTATTATTTACTAAAGCTTTGCCAATCTTATATTAGCTTTTGTGTTTAGTGAATACTATATTTATTTCTAGAATACTGTGAAAAATCACATGGTTGAATACATAGTATTTCATTTACTCCCCTGTTATTGTTACAACCGTAGATTTTGTTTCTCTACCTTGTTTACCCCGGGACGATTTACAGCGAATGGAGTAAATAGGATTTACGGTCGGATAGCAAATGCTGAATAACGTACCTAAAATAAAAATAACCTTATATTGCTCGGAATACTAACAATTTTAAAAAGTTGCTTTGAAATTTAATTTTTTAACTTAAAATTATGTATTTTATAAACAGTGCAATTAGTTAGTAAGGAACATTATAAAACGTTGTCCTAATTTAATTTCTCGTAACAATTAACGAAATATTAAGCTTTACAATTATAAAATATCGAATTTCTAATAAAATAAATTACATATTGCACAAATATTATACATGATATAGGACTACACAATTTTCAAAATAGTATATAACGGACTGAATATTGCGAGTAAAAGTAGATGTTGGCACAGGAACATCACAGCATGGTTGCGGCGCAATGCCAAGCAAGTCTGCCTTCTTGTAACCATTCGTTACCATAAATCAAAAATTGTTTTATTGTATGTCTATCTACTTGTAAAGACGTCTTCTATCAACTTGTAAAATAATGTTGCAATATATGTTAAGTTGCGGTATTCTTTTATAGGAAGAATATATATAAATAAAGCTGTGATTTCCAAAATATATTTCCAATGTGGTTGAGGACTTAATATTATTGTGAATTGGGTAGTTGATCTATCCCGTCTGATTTAAGGGATTTGACAAAACCATGACACGCCTTCGATTCTGTAACATATCGTCGGATTTTCAAGAGATCAATGTTCATTGAAATCTTAGAACATTTTCGTGTCAAGGTATTTTCACATTATATGTATAAATAATATAATAATACCATAATAAAAATAGCTAGGTATAGTAGATATAAAATTTATCTTAATGTACAACACTTAATTTGAATAAAACCTAACTTTTAAATAAAAAACATGTACACCCAAAAATAAATATAATATAAAAACAAGGCAGCTGTTTAAGAGATGCCTTTTTTAATATGTAATATTTTATTTTTTTATGTATATATATTACAAGGTTAAATTAAGAATTAAAAAAATATTTTGATTATCAAAATATTACTATGGTTATAAAACATAATTGTGTTTCGGTTTCATTATTAAAATATTTTAAATTACAAAAAAAATTCTAGGCTCCGTTATTTAACTTAAAACTTTTAGCAAGTTATCTAAAAAGTCTGTCGTGTATATGATTAAATACGTTTCTTATATTTATATAATTGAGCATTAGTCATTAGGTTTAAGTTTTGCTTCAAATATAAAGGTTATATTTTATTTAAGTATATAATTATATGTATGTGATACATTTTTTACTTTTATTTCATTTCAAATAACAATCAGTTGCATCCACGTTGTATACAACTCAACGAAAGTAGCTTGAGATATTTTAGTAACGTAACGTATTTTATCAGCCATGGAAAATATTATTCATTAGCCTCTGCCCAGACTACGCTTAAGTACTTATAGCAGACGTCTTCCGGGATAGAATTTCCCAGAATGAAAAATAGCTCATATCACTTTCCGGAATACCAAACAGCGAATTTTAATAATCTCGCAATTTTTAAGATTAAAGCGTTATTAAGAAAGGTTTTCTGATTAGTTATATGTTCAAATTATATATAATTTCAGTGTTGAAAGTAAGCGCTAGTTTTTTGAGTTTTCGTGACTAAAACAACTGAAATTAAAGTAGAGCTCGCGTGGTTAAAAGAAAGCTGTATGTGGGTAATAGAAAGTAATATACTTAAGTTATTGGTTATTTAATAACTTTTTAGTTACACGCTAGGACAAAATGAGGTTCAAGGACCTCAAATTGAATCACAAATTTAACAAATAAAACATTTTCCGAAAACGTATGGTTCACATATAATTGTACAATCATTTACAATTATGACGAATATTGTTTATTTAAAGCTTCATTTGTTTATTTTTGTGGTCTGAATTATGTATTAAAGTAAAATTTATCCACATCTTTTTAATAACTTTAAACATCCACATATCATTTGAATGTATGATTTATATAAAGTCTTTACCAATTTATACGTTAAATATTAATAATATAAACGTCAGTAAATTAATACAATATCCAATGAAATTTACTATTGCTCAACTAGAGACATGTATTTGAGTGCAATCCCACTCCCAACGTTTTGGTGACTTACGACAGAACTGTTTGTCAGAGCAATTTATTTGATTGCTGCACCCAACTTATTTGACTAGGGCGTCCTTTGGTAAATTACACATATTGCCGTACCATACAAACGGTGCTATATAGCTTTACCTCATTTATTATTCGATATATGAGTATACCATATCAAGCATAGCAAAATTGATCAAGTTTATACATAAGCTTAAACATTAAACACACCTAGCCATGTTTTATTCACATGCGGAATATCAGGTGAGTAGTTGCACCGTAATAGCGCAGTTTAAAATAATGAATGAAGTTTCGTTTGCATCCTCGTGGATAAGCACTATCTGCATATTACGAAACTTTTTCTAGCAGGAATAAACACATTAAAGTATCTCAGGGCACGAAGGAGCGATAGCTTGTAGCGACGTTGATTTATGTCTCTGTTTGTCTCAGACTCAAAGTCTCGGATGATCCGCTGGACGATAAGGCTGTGAATGCAAGTAGCAAATTACATGAGATAATTGCTGTTTACTGAAACCCAGTTCGCCTCCCATGTGGTCTGACCGAACCAATAAGTCAATCTTAACTATTTTCTAATTACCCTTTCAGAGATGCAAGCATTCGAGCGACTTGTAAAAAATTATATTAATGGAAATATGAGCTACCTACATCTTGTGATGGCACAGTTATAGTGTGGAGCTAGTTGAGTTTTATTTAAAAAATTGAGGACCTGGATAGATCCAGAGTTTGTGTTTGAGATAAGGTCCAAAGATGCGACAAAGTTTCAGTGACATTGATTAATGTCCCCTCTGGCGAGGCTTAGCTGGACTTATCCAAGATATCGCTGGCTATTAAGATTCAAAAACTTCCTTTATCACTTTCGCGAGTAAGTTATATAAATTTTGAATCTGAAATTTATAACACATATCATTTACCACTTTACCACAGTTTCATTTTAAATTAATGTCGTTTGTTGATATGCACTGTTCAGTCTCGGTTCATCCGGGCATGTTAAAGCTACAAATGCAGTCCGTAAATTACCGGACAAAGTTGATGTTTACGTAAAGTCGGTTTGCCTCATATGCGGATAACTTCCTTAGTAGGATTTAACTCGGCTCTCTCATTATCCATTTGGGATGGTGTCCTCAGATTAAACAGAAGCTTTTTCAATGTAAAAGATACAACTTTTCACTGTGTAGAGGATAATTTGTTAAAGATACAAAACTTAAAATTAAAGATCTTACTATGTTTCCCGACAAAGGATACTTTATGTAAGTAATAATTATTAATAAATCCTTAAAATTTGTTCAAGTTATAAATAAAATAAAATTCTTTAACGCTTTACATAAACATCCACCATTTATATGACCTAAACTCTAAACAATTCACCCAAAATTTAATTAATTAATTATTTATCAACATAGCAAGAACCCTTTAGTAATAATATTAACTTTTATTGCATTAGTACGTTTCGTTTTTGGGAAGAGTATGTGTTTTTAAATATAATAAGCAATGAAGGTAAATAATTATGCAAATGTTAATTGGTCAGTTCGCATGGCAGTGTTGTCATGAATTGTATTTCCCGATGTCAATTAAATTGCATTGTAAATTGCAGTTGTAATTATACTTGGACTATGGACTTGGATATTGGGTATAATATTTGCTTAATAGCTTCACAGTAGAAATAATTTTATAATAAAATAAGTTTTTTTTTTTAAAACAAAGTATTTGTTTTAAGATAATGTATTGATAATCTTTATAGAAAAGGTCGAGAGAGGATATTTTTTTAATTATAAGTTATACATGTCGAAGGTTATTAGGGATTTAAACATTATTTCTAGTTCTTGGCTAAAGTTTTTAATAAACGCTAGACACTACTTAATATTATTATTTTATTTCATTTTATATCTATATATGTATATATATAGAGAAAGAGAGAGAGAAAGAGGTGGTAATTTGCAACCCCACTTTATTTTTTGAGTATTTTAATATTAATAACGGTAATAGTAATAACGGTAAATTTTTGACCCATCCATCCACTTCAACCATGTAAGGTCCACTGCTGGACATAGGCGTCCCTCACCGACTTCGGTCGCACTTGTAAGTACTGATACCAAAGTTACTGACAAATTTAGAAGTAAGCTTCGGGTGAAAAATCACTTATAATTAATTACTATCTCAGTAATCAAAAGATTGACAAATCTACATATATTTTACATAAATATGATAGTAAATTTTTTAATTTTTTTTGTGGTTGATATATCACGAAGGCAAACAAATAATATTCAGTCTTTAAGAAAAGATAAAATATAATTTTTTACCCTTCCTATTTAGAAAGCAAATAAATATAGGAACGAAATCTCATATAATACGTTTCGTGTTATTAACTTTTTTGTCTTTAAGCCTTGCTCCTTACGAAATGATTTTTTTTTTCATTTAAAACTGTAGGGTATATCTTAAATAGGACTCTAAAAGAACTGAACTTAAGTTCATTCAGAAATAATAAAATAGAAAAGAGCATACGCTGTAAAGATTGAAATCTGAGCTTGGCATGTGATTTTGAGGGTTAAGGGTGAAACCGTGGAAGGGCAGAGAACAAAAGATCTAGAGGGGTTCCAAGTATATGTTCGAGCTGCGGTCGGGATTGAAGGACATATACTACATCGTTATTAATCACTGGTACCAGCATCATATACTCAATA